TAGTATTGCCGGTAAAGACAAGGGAGACTGGATTCTACTGTATATGCTTAATTTCTCCGGGTCCAACTGATTTAGCAGAACTCGATTTAGGTGTCTGTGGTTCTCTGCGTCTTCAGTTGGTGGTCCATAGAAAGGCAGAATTGGTGTGCCTTATATCTCATCTTTCTTTTGGCTCTCAAATGACTTAGCGTTCGCCCTCATGTTGCCAACCGTATTCTTAATGGCCAGTTATGTCGGTATCAGCTCTGGTGACGCTACAAGAGTCTTTATGTTGTATATTTCCCAATTAATTCTCTTTCGTATCAATACCCACTCTACATAAGCTACTTAAGGTTAGCCCGGGATTATAGTTCTCATTGCGTTAGCAGTTCTACGGCAGCCTGGTTCGAAATAACTGTTTTGTCTTGGAAAAATTTTAGGACAGTGAGATAGAGTGCGACACCTTCTGCACCCAGCTCAGTGCGAGCCTGAACCGTGACGCGGAGCCCATGAACATCGGTCCCTTCATCAAGGACAATATCGCTCTCCTACGTCGGGAATTGTACAATGGTGTGTGTACACTGCCAAATATCCGACCCCCCTCATTGGATGTGGAGGCCTCCCAGTCACAACGTCTCCCCTCGTCCTTACCACAGCCCATCATTGCTGGCGTATCTACAATGTCCAATTCTCTTAGTACGCCTGTGGTGATCTCGCACACTTCGCTGCCGGTTCGGCCAAGTTTTACTAACGTATCGAGTATGGAGTCCGCCCCGTCTACTATCCTTCCTCGGCAGGCCACAGCCACATTTATTTCCCACCACCAACAACAACAGCAGCAACAACAACAACGCCTACAAACAACGGCGATGCCAGTTTCTATAACTTCTCAGGTCAACCCAAGTACTGCCACCTCGGTGGTGTTCCAGTCAAACGCATCAGCGCCCTCGACGACGTATTCGTCCTCAGCAGTCTGCGTCAGCCGGGCGGGCGAAACCCCGATTTTTACCTCTCCTACGTCCACCCTCCCTACCACGGCTGCTGTTGGTCAGCCTTTGATACACACGTCAAATTTCGTTCATCCCGTAATCAGACCGATTCTCCCATCCAGTTATACCACACGAACGCCTCCCTCTATAACCC